ATACGGCAAAAACTGGTGCACCCTGGGCAACGTATACACGGCAAAAGAGTCCGGGTGCACCCTGGGCAACGTATACTCATACAGCAAAAATCCTCCACGTGGTGCACCCTGGCCAACGTATAATCATACGGTCTTACCTCCACGTGGCGCACCCTGGGCAATGTATACTACACCTTACCTCCACGTGGTGCACCCTGGGCAACGTATTCTCATTCGGCTACCTCCACGTGGTGCACCCTGGGCAATGTATACTCATACACCTCCACGTGGTGCACCCTGGGCAACGTATACTCACGATAGACTTACCTCCAGGTGGTGCACCCTGGACAACGTATACTCAAACGGCACCTCCACGTGGTGCACCCTGGGCAACGTATGCTCACTTCAAACTACTAAATCTATTAACTGGCAGTTGACTTCTGACTTCAAACTATGCAAAATTACATTTACCGACAGTTGACTTCTGACTTCAAACTGCCACTTTATTATTCGGCAGTTGACTTCTGACTTCAAACTACCAAAAGTCTATTAACTGGCAGTTGACTTCTCACTTCAAACTGCCATCACCCAACTTCAAACTGCCCACGTGGTGCACCCTGGGCAACGTATACTCATACGGCAAACAAACGTGGTGCACCCTGGGCAACGCATACTCATACGGCAAAATGTGGTGCACCCTGGGCAACGTATACTCATAAGGCAAAAAGATCCCTATTAACCGGCAGTTGACTTCTGACTTCAAACTACCATACTATTAACTGGCAGTTGACTTCTCACTTCAAACTACCATCTATTAACCGGCAGTTGACTTCTGACTTCAAACTACCATGAGTACACCCTGGGCAACGTATACTCATGCGACAAAAAAGTCTAAACTGGTGCACCCTGGGCAACGTATACACGGCAAAAGAGTCCGTGGTGCACCCTGGGCAACGTACACTCACACCTTACCTCCACGTGGTGCACCCTGGGCAACGTATTCTCATTCGGCTACCTCCACGTGGTGCACCCTGGGCAATGTATACTCATACACCTCCACGTGGTGCACCCTGGGCAACGTATACTCACGATAGACTTACCTCCAGGTGGTGCACCCTGGACAACGTATACTCAAACGGCACGTGGTGCACCCTGGGCAACGTATACTCATACGGCTCCACGTGGTGCACCCTGGGCAACGTTTACTCATACGGCTCCACGTGGTGCACCCTGGGCAACGTATACTCATAAGGCACCACGTGGTGCACCCTGGGCAACGTGTACTCATACGGCAAGTAAGTCTATCACGTGGTGCACCCTGGGCAACGTATACTCATACGGCAAACAAACGTGGTGCACCCTGGGCAACGCATACTCATACGGCAAAATGTGGTGCACCCTGGGCAACGTATACTCATAAGGCAAAAAGATCCCTATTAACCGGCAGTTGACTTCTGACTTCAAACTACCATACTATTAACTGGCAGTTGACTTCTCACTTCAAACTACCATCTATTAACCGGCAGTTGACTTCTGACTTCAAACTACCATGAGTACACCCTGGGCAACGTATACTCATGCGACAAAAAAGTCTAAAATACGGGGTGTGCGATAGACTTACCTCCGTGATATATTTAATGAATGGGGTGTGCGATAGACTTACCTCCACGTTGTGCGAAATAGCAATGTGGGGTGTGCGATAGACTTACCTCCACGTGGTACGCCCTGGGCAATGTATACTCATACGGCAAAAAAGTCTATTAAATGGCTTGGAAACGTGACCTCATACGGCAAAAAGTCTATAAACCGCTGGGCAACGTATACTCATACGGCAAAAAAGTCTATTAACTAGTGAGATGGGTGTGCGATTGACTTACCTCCACGTGGTGCACCCTGGGCAACGTTTACTCATACGGCAAAAAAGTCTATTAACCAGCAGTTGATTCCTTACTTCAAACTACCATTACCCCACTGTATGTCATATTCGACTCCTTCCACAGTATTCATCTTACCTTCTTCTCCACCTTTGTGTCTGTCTCTTTTACACCTGCGAATCACACTTCTGTTCTCTCTCTCGACTTTTTGTGACTTTGGTGTTCCTCCCTTCTTTGAGGCCCGAAGTCAGCTAAAGGGCTAATGATAACTGTCAAAATGCCTGCCACTTGATAGAATATTTCTTATCCTCTGAATTCAAAATGTTCGCAGCATTTCGATGAGGAACAAACAAACGTGATGACAAAAAGCGAAAAGAAATAAATGTTATATGAACAGGTAAGGGGATGAGTCATAAAGTTCTCTGACAAGGATTTACAAGTTCACATATGTCTTTAGAGCTTCCGTAATAGCATACAACTCTCCGATCATTCTACTGTATGGTCAGGATCACGGTAAGTTGCAGCTCAACATAACTTGCAATTTTCAAACCTAAAAATTGGAAACCTGTTGAGATCATAGAATCTTTACAACAGGTTTATGGGTGAGTTTCCATCGATGAAATTGCCAATGGAGTAAGAATCGTCCGCGGTTAAGCATTTTCAATTCCCACTGAATATCTTGGCTTGAGCAAGCTCTCGGTGGGTACGGTAAGTTCCAAAAGCGTTGCATGAACGTTACTGATCCAATGAACAGAACTTTTTATAGCAACTCTGGAAAAGATGGAAGCAACCGAGGATAATTTTTTAAGCTCTTTGCCACCGGAAATAGAATTTGTATCTATCACTTTGATCCAGAAGGCAAAATTCGGTCAAGAGAGAGACATCCAAAGAGAACACCTGGGCCTGTCAAACTCAAAGCTGAAAGGTCCATTGAGAAGGTCATGCTCATTTTATTTTTGGGATTCTAAAGCAGCGATATTGATAGACATTCTAGTCGGGCAGAAAACGGCCACCTCAAGTTATTATGAGGGCTTTGTGAAGAAGTTGAAGACGTCCCTCGCCATAAAATGGTGCAGAAAACAGCATAGTCAAATGATGTTTCATCATGGCACTGCCTGTGATCATACTTCAAGAGCTGTCAGGGCTCTGTTGTTCGAATTTCTATGTGAATCTCTTCCACATCCTCCCTATAGCCCAGACCTACCTTTCTCAGACGTTTTAGTTTCAAAGCTGAAAAGACACCTCAAAGGCACCAGATTTACATTTTTAGACAAAGCGAGAAACAGAGCCAGAGACAGCCACCCAAAATTTACAGGTGAGAATAGAGTTTAAAAGAGTGCATAGACAACAATAGAGCATATGTGGAATTATGAATGTACTCGCAGGCTAAATAAAGAAACTGTGAATTTTCTCTAATATTCCTGTCCCATCCTTTCGTTTTTCTGTTCCAATCCTTGATAACCTTGCAAATCATGACCCAAATCTTCTTGCACTCTTTCCTGAAGGGGGTTTACATTCCCCCTCGGCTGGTTGATTACATGGAATAACTAATTATTAAGTGTTTCTTTACATGTTGGCAATCTAAAAACGATCAAGCTTGTTGGGAACACAACGCTAACATGGCCAAGCCAATGAAACCCGTGCGTAATCGAACATTCTGGAAAGTTCGTGCGCGATGTTAATCGCAGTAGGGAGCAAATGAGGTCATGAGTGCAGAGACCTCTCGACCAAACAATAATAGGTAGTCATTACAATGCTGTTATAACTAAACAGCATTTAATGATGAAGCCCTATGTTATCACAAACGCAACCCAACACAAAAGGCAAAAGGGTGTTTGACGACATAAGTCCCGGGAATAAACTTTAAACTTGGAGACTTCATCAAAGAAATTACTGAACATAAGTCAAGGTCACTAACCTTAAAACTTGGTAGTCAAATAAAGTGACATGTTTATTTTATTAATGGTGCTACCGTGTGAGGCCGTAAGGACAATCTTACTTAGATGCTCTTGATTTATTTTACTCAGGGAAGTGGTATGCACATTTTTCCACGAAAATATGTGAAAGAAGAAAGTGGCCAAGACGGAGTCCATCGCGTTGTTATTGGACTAGTAAACTGTTTGAGAACAAAAATTACAGTTAAGAAAAAATTTAAAAGATGAATATTGAATTGTATGAAAATTAAATATTTGTCTACAGGGGATTCGATAAGTGGGCGAGGAAGATGTGTGAGAATAATTTCTCACTCAATAACTGAGGCACAATAGTGAATGATTGTTACGTTGATTTCCGGCATTCATGCTTGAAAATGCAGAGCGTATACGAAATTTTAAGGCAAATTAAGTTGGTAACGATTTTTACATACAATTCTTTTGTTGTAGAGAATGTCTAGTTTTAAACGTCAATGGCGAATCAGCTAGTTGGCGAATATTTGACAATCAAACTGCCAAATTAGTGCCAAACTCTTCGTTACAATTGAGATCTTAAAATTTCCAGTCAAATCTTGATACTCTTGAAATCTTATGCCTAGAAAATAAATATATAGGGATGAAGCGAAATTAAAGTTCATTTTTCACCAAATTTATAATCGGATATATGTTATAATTATTGTAAATACGTGGCTACTTTATTCCATACAGTGCATATGAATAACTAGACAGTCATTCCAAGTTACAATAAATTATGAAATTGGAGATTTTCTTCAATCCGAACAATTGTAATTGGCAATTAAACTAACCATTAAAATTGCTATTGAATAGCATCAATGGTTGTTATAAAACTATATTATGAGCCCATATTTTCATTTTCACCAACTGAAAATTTGCCACTATTTCGCATTTTAAAAATAAATTAAGCGAAAAAATCTTCGTTTGCGTATAGTCCTCCATGGTTCTATTGAACAATAGTTAAGTATGGCAAAATATTACCATAAAACTTTCTTCATTAATTAGTTATCGGATATAATGGCCAAATAGGAGCTGAAGAATAAATTTGAAATATAAATTTTTCACAAAATTAAATGAATGTGTGAAAATATGGAGTAATGTGATCACTCGGTAAATAGAATGAACCAAGTACCAAGGTCATTTGAAATGAGAATAAATTGAAGTGAATCGAAAGCAATGTTGCACTTTATTCATTAATACGATGACGCCTATTCTCGGTTATTGGGACATTAGAGGCGTGAGTTTAAATATCAATTTTTATTTATTCAAAAGACATACAAGCAATACTTGATATATGAATGTTTTTACAAACATAGCTTGCTGAACCAATTCGCCTATTATTGCGTCACCTTGGAGCTGATTTTAAGGACAAGATATACATTATTGGAGATGGTAATTTTAACACCTAAAGCGAAAAATGTGTAGGTCCTGTTTATCCCCCCAAAGAATGGCTGGATGAAAAATTCAAACTGGGTCTTGAATTCCCAAACGTAAGACACTATTTATTAAATTATTCATATGCTCAACAGCTACCGTATTATATTGATGGTGATTTCAAACTGACTCAATCTTCAGCTATTCTCGAGTATATTGCCGAGGTACACAATATGGGTAAGAACTATCCCGAGTTTTGAGTAAATCAACCCATCAAATAGTTCCAAGTTGTGTGAAACAACGTGCTGTACTTCGTATGCTTTTCAATGCTGCTCTTGATCTGCGCGTGAATTTTTTCAGAATGTGCTACAATCCGGATTTCGTAAGTCTAATCTTCAATTTAAATCAATTTCAACAAATAAGGCTGTAATTTTGACTGAAAAATAAATGTATGATTTCTTAATGTTTTACAGGATAATCTGAAAGGCCCATTCCTGAAAAGTCTTCCTGATAGTTTGAAGACCTTCGAAGAATATTTGGGTGACAAAACCTGGCTTACAGGTGAAAAGGTGAGCACTTCTACCCTCTACATTTCGTACATTGACACAAGTTGTTGGTGTTAATTTCAAATTTTTGTCTTAAGATTAACTATCCTGATTTCAACTTGTGTGAGCTTCTGAATCAATTAGAAAAGTTTGAGCCATCCTGTCTCAGTAAATTTCCAAAATTGAAGGCCTATCTGACTCGCTTTGAGGTATTCTTTTTATGTTCAGTTTGTGTTTAAAGCCTTTTATTTCTTTATCATACGTTGTGTTACATTTATTTAGAATCTACCAGAACTGAAGGAGTATATGGCCTCGGAGGAGTTCAAAAAGCGAGACTGCGTAGGAAGAACTGCAAAATGGCGTAATAACAACTGAGTACGATTTGTGAACGTCAAATGATTAATACGTGATTGAATATAAAATAAATTCTCAAACTGTCTGCCAACTTGTTTGTTTGTTTTCTCTCATGAAACCATCGAAAACGGATTTTCCTTGAGGGAATATCTTGAAGTTGAAAGAGCTTAACAATAAGCATGAGTACTAGGATTTGGAATCAGGGAGAGAACGAATTACTGCATAGAACTTTTAGGTCATTTTCTAATGGACTTTTTCCTCTTGTAGACTAGAACAAAAGCCGAATCTCTTTAAGGGAATAGAGTTGGATGGTTTGAGATAGAAAATGTGAGGTTGATTTAATGGTACTTCTTCGTTCGGGAGTCAAAAACGATAAAGAGTGCAGTATCATCTAACCTGTCCGATTGTGACTTCTATACAATTTTGGTGGTGGTTTAAGACCGTTTGATTGTGTTTTGCAAGGCGGTTGACATTGATTTAATTTATTTAAATTCAATTAAACACATACAATTATTTTGTTAGATGTATAATAATTGTGAACGTATGATGATTGGTAAATGAAATACTGGGAAAGATAGAAAGAGTATGACGAGGATCGATAAATCATTAATTGCTTCTATTTGACTTGGGTGGCCACCTTAATGAGAAATGCATTTGTAATAATTGTAATAATTCGATCAAAAGTTTTGCGTTAGCAGTTCATCGCTAACTTGTGCATATGAAGTCGAAATTGACTACTAGGTAGAACTGAGGTTGGTTTAATGGTACATCTAACCTGTCCGATTGTGACTTTTATACAGTTTTGCAGGTGATTTTTGACCGTTTGGTTGTGGTTCGCAAAATGTGGTTGATATTGATGTAATTTAACCTAATTCAATTAAACTTAGATTATTATTTTTTAGATGTATAATAACTGTGAACGTATGATAATTGGTTAATGAAGTATTGTTAAAGATAGAAAGAGTATGACGAGGATCGATAAATCATACATTGTTTCAATTTGACTTGGGTGGCCACATTTATGACGATCCATTTAGCTGTATGCATTCTCAGTCAGTGGGAATTGTCTTAGATTATTGTTCTTTAGCTATGTATCTGTAAAGCGTTGATTGGCGTTTGATGTTTCAGTGTTTATATGTGCCATAATTAATCTCTGATGTGTGCCCCTACGAGATTTACTCAATTCGTCAAAACAAAGTTGGTACATGGAATGGACCAGAGCCCACTTCCTTCTCTCTCTTTAGTACATAAGTGCAATTGTGCTTTGAAATTTCTCAATTTCTATTCGGATACACCCTCCTTGTTCTGTTTACATTACATTCTGTTCGTTTGCTATGTAAATTTTTGGATAATAAATCAGTGAACAAATTGACGAAGTGCACAATCTCATTAATGGGAGTCTCTGTTTGTATTTCGAAACTGTTTAAGAAGATAAGTTTGCGGAAAAATATGTCCGTTAGTTTACAGCAACGGTGTGCAAAATATACAAGTCAGAATGTGCATTGAAAATAGTGGGAATTGGAAAAGTGGTATCATGATGTAAATATGGCTTTCGAAGCAAGTGTTAGTTGGTCAAAAATCAAATCTAAAGGATTGATTAGGACTTTTGCTTACTTCAACAAACCACTGAATGTAGACCCGCAAGTGTAAAGATGTTAGGACATTAGCAATTCTAGAATTCGAATGCATTTAAATGTATTGGAATGAGTAGTTTTGACCATCCATCCAATTCCCAATTACTTTTCCAATTACTTCCAATGCAGTTGTACCATGCGGTGTCGAGGAAATTGAACAACTCGCATGTACAGCCTTGGCAAAATCTCAACGATGCTCTTTGACAAAATCCTCATAGTTTAAAATTGATTTAGAAATGAGGTAAACTCTGCTGGAAGAGGAGGGAATGGAGATGGGAATTCATTTCTATTGAAGGCCACACTGCCACGAAGCTTCGTCACTGAAATGCAATTAGTAGTTGACAACATCGTAGCGACTGCTGACTGTGTGTTGGCAGTGATGGTGTCTGCACCGATGGCCCCACCTGGATGCTGCGTGATACGTAGCCCGGTCACATCTTCCCGACTGTTTTCGATCACATAGGATACCTTTGATCGGCCTTGGCAGCGTTGTGCATGTGAGACACCGAAGGGTGTAACATATTACACCTTGGGGCCAGAAATTTCAAATCAAAGTGGATAACTTCTTTATTTGTGTGAATTAAGTTGTGGAAAACATGAACATTCGGAATATTCTGAAGAAGAGTTTGTAGCACACAGACCATTCACACAGGAGACTGGAGGAACGCTACTAAAGAAATGGAGGTAGTACTTCAGACCACTTGAACAGTAGAATGGCATGAAATAGTTAAAATGATTGAGATAACCACATTACGGCGTCCGATAAAACTAAATATTCTATGAATTTCAGCATATATTTTCTACAAACAAAGTAAAGCCTATTCAATCTGCAAGATTCGTCATATTTGACTGGAAATAGATAAGCAATTATCTATTTTCACCTGAAGAGTACAAATACTACCCCATTCTCCATAAAAAAAATCAAGAATGTACGACCGTGTTATGCAGAAGTTTCTCAGGCAATTAGGAAACCTGTATAGGCAAGTGAGAATAGCATTTATTGGCTTAATAGCTGAACAAGTAGGTTGTTTAACAAAATGAGCAAATAACGTGCTCCACGTCAAACGTTCTATCCAGTGTTTGGTAATTTTGAGATTTTACCAATGAGATTCTTGAGGTTAAGTTAAAGTCGGCGATATGCATTGAACTTGTCATTAACTATCCTTTAACTTTGGGACAACGTTTTCACAAAACTTCGCTCTACTTGTTATATTTAAGTAGGAATTAAATTATATCAACTATGACTGTCTGGAAGATTTCCTCGTTCTGGCTTGCTTGATGGTAGGGCCTTATATACCTCAATTGGAGTTATCATTTTTAAAGTACATGGTTAATCATTATATGTATATTATTAATTCAAAATATCACCACATTCAGTACTTTTAAAATTTATTTTTATGAACCATTCCAATTATGCGATAAGTGAAATCGATGTCGAAATTGGCCGAATGGAAAGAGTTTAAAGAATAAAATATTGATGTAACTGAATCGAGAATAACTTTCAAGTTGAATTGACATGGAATTTACGTGATTGACTGTTTCCATGTTGAGATTTATGCTTTTGTGACGGTTAATTAATTACTGAAACTGCTACCATCCAGCAAGATGTTAACTTTGCGTCAATCAATAAACTATGAGCAAGGTATGTAACAATAATAATGATAGTAATAATAACAATGATAAGGAGTATAAGGGGTGATTAATAATCGTCAATTTGATTGTTATCAGCAATTGTCAATGGGAGAGGCATAATTTGGACCACAAAATGCTTCTTAACCCCCACTGAATGACATTAATCTTTGGCACAGTCAAACTTATTTTGAGAAATATTCAATTAATAGACAAAAGAACTTTGATCATACAAAATTATTACAATTTAAGCCAAAACAAATCTACCACAGGTGGGGTTTCATCTAAAAATTGTGCAAGAATCCTAACTGTTATGTAATGGCTCCTTATTTAAATATCAGTTAATTAAAAACAGTAGTTTTAATCTCTATGAGCTATATGCCTAACATGTAAAGTTCGTTTCCAAATTCTTTATCGAGTCTATTTTCAAATGTTTTGTGAATCAATTATCCAGATTTCAATCTGCTCAAATATTTGAACCACTTAGTTAAAGATGGCGACTATTGGTTTGAAATAATTTTCTCCCCTTTTCTTATACTTTCAAATTCACAAATTTCCTGTTAAAACAACTCGATCAATAGCGTGATCTGAGTTAGTGATTGGTCGATTTTTTGCACTTGCGCATGCTAGGATGCGCGTGCCTGTTCATAATCGTCCAATCACATTTTGATCCCCTGATGTGACTTTGTCATTAACTTTCAACAACTTGCTGATCTGATGCCTTAGTCTTCTGACTTCTGCAACCTGTGGAACTGAATTATATTATACTCTATGTCATTCAAGCTTAATGGCATTGCGTTGAATAACCTGTTGATGCTGAATTTCACAGAACTCACTTCTCTCTCCCCAGTGGCCTCTATAGCGTATCGTTCTAGATTATTTACTAAATCCAAAAGTGGATACAAAGGTTTTAGCAGTGAGATTTTAAACAAACGGACGAACTGTATACAGGGTTCAAGAATTCAGTTGAATTAATTGCTCGAAATCTGAAGGTGTCTGTTACCACACTGATTTTGGAACTATAAAAGAAAGCCTCATGCAAAATTTTACTCAAAAGATTAGAGTTTACACATTTCTTTGGTAGGTTTAACTTGCCAATAAGTCAACGCCAAAATAGTCTATAAGCCGATAGTTGACTTCTGACTTAAAATTACCTTTTTCCACTGAATGTCATATTCGACCACTTTCACAGTACTCACCATACCTTTTCTCGACCTTTGTGTCTGTCTCCTAGGCATTCGTAAATCATTCTTCTATTCCCCCCTCTAGACTTTTGTGACATTGATATTCCGCTAATTGGTGAAGCCCGAAGTCAACTAAAGTCCTAATGATAATTTTCATAACGCCTGTCATTTGATATAAACTAATTTAACTGAGGGATTCATTATGCCTTCCCAATATCATTTTGTCACAAATAATAATTCAGGAGAATTAAATGGGTAAATATATTTTGACTTCAATATATTTTGCTTGGTCTTTATAGTTAGCTAAAAGTGTTATATATTTGGCAATCCATAAATGAAAATGGCATAATTTAATTGACGAATATTGCATGCAATAGATAATGCGCGTTAATGCACGTTTTATGAGGTCCCAATTACACTCCCCACCAACAGGCATTTGGACATTCGATTAATAGGAATATCATAAATGCTTTCACTTCATTATTAGTCGGAAGCAAATTAGTCTAAAGTGCTTAATGACAAAGCATGATACCCAAGTATTGTCTGTTGAGCTTTATTATCTGACAATTAAAAG